CAAAGTGCTGGCAGGCTCTGTGGCTGGACTGCAGTAGGGTGGCCCTGGTGCTGCTCTGCTGCCTCTTCTGCACAGGCTGCACTGGCTGCCACCAGGCTGGGGGGTCAGGGTGAGCCCTGGGGTCTGCCAGGCACCAGCCCCCTCAGCTGTGCTTCCAGAGATCGCTTGGGAGGAGCTCTAAAATACAGTATGCTAGCAAAACAGGTAACTTCTGGAAAAAAATCATATAAATACAAAGTCTTGGCTAAACTCTGAGTTTCAGGCAAACCAAACTCAACTCCAGCAGCCAAACACCCATCAGTGCTTCTGGCTTGCCTCAGTCCTTGAGCAAATTACTTCAATGCTATTTTTCATGTAACTGCAGATCTGATATGTACATAGAGCAAGATGACAACCAGCCAGCTTCATCTGCCTTCTTTCAACTTCATACTTGTAACTAAAGTTCACACAATATTTTCAGAGACATCCATCCCCCCCATCCCCCCTCAAAAAAAAAAGAAAAAAAAAAGAAAAAGCATGAGGAAGGCAATGGGAGGATAAAAGACAAACACAAAATGCAGTTCACTTAAAAATATCTCTGCTTGATGGAGGCTAAAAGGTGGCAGCTGTGCCAAAGTAGTGGACCCTAAATCGCTGAGCAAAAAAGAGCAGGGAAGACTGATTGCTCCCAGTACTGTGGTGAATGTGTGCTCTCAGCCACAAATCAAGCAAGCTTAAAAAAAAAAAAAACAACCCGGAAAAAAAAGACTCAATCAAGGCAATAATGGCCTCCACTTCACAATCAGACAAGTGCTTCTACTTCAGAAATCCTACCATTTATGGCTGATTGCTAACCCTGGCCTCATTTCTAATCTAAAGGGTGAGTAATAATTTGGAAAAGGAATTATAACAACTTCCCAACCATTTGGTAAATCGTCATTACTTTAAAGGGGTGTTGGGGAGCTGTTGCTGTTTGTCAGATATTTTTTTCCTGCTACAGCTCTCCTACTTCCACCACTCCTTTTCTCCTTTATCTCATACTGGAAGGGAAGTAATGTACAGTGGAAATATGTAAGAAAGAAAAGTCTGGAGGGATCTTCTGACCATGGGACTCTGCCATGTAGAAGCTGACATGAAGCACAGAAAGGTGCAATGGCTCTTCCCTTTGTGTGGTGCCCAGAGATTCATGCAGGGATCAGTGGGGCACTGAGCATTGTTCCCAGCCCAGGGGCTCCTGCATGAGTTCCCTAGAGTGGGAAACCTTCTGCATTAGGAACTTCCCAAAGGACAGGATGAGGAGCACCCATGCAGGTGGATGGGCGATGCTGGGGTGCTGGTGCAGCAAGAGCCTGCTGCCCACCTGACCCCTCACTGGAGCCCCCCTGGCCTTTGGCCTCCCCTGGTCAGGGGCCACCAGCTGGATGGAGCTGGTGCTTTGCTGTCCCAGTCCTGCCTGGACTGTCTGGAGTAGGCAAAGAGACATTAACCATTTGACCCATAGGTTATCCTGATGGGAAGTACCAAGTCTGGAACCCTGAGCTCCGTTTATTGCATTTATTTTCTGGTTCAAGCAGGGAGAACTGCATCTGTAAATATTTCAGTATTTATGTGAATATTTTTTCCATCTTCTGCAAGTACATTGTGATTTTCATATGCACATCAGAGTTCATTGTAGAGGTTATTCCAACCAAAGCAATTCTGTGATTCTAGGGTTTTCTAGGGATATCAAAACAGAGGACTTGGACAATGTTCCTTCTGGCCATCACCTGTGAAGGCCACAGCTGCCCTGGGCAGAACTAAGGACTTTGCCTGGTGCTGCTGTTCTCCCTGACAGAGTGTTTAAAAACAGATGAAACTTGATGCAGAAAAAAAGAATCAGGGGGACCTGTGCTGGGGGAGACCTGTGCACAGCTTCACCTGAGTTACCTATTCTAATCCTGTGGAAATCATGACGATGTTTTGATAACAGTAGACATTTGTGATCAAAATACCTCTTATTTCAATGATTCAAGGACAAAATGGGAAGCTGTTGTCTCCCTGGATGAATGTGAGATGTTTTATGAAAGGTATGATCAGTGTGTTTGGAGAATGACAAAATCTCCTCCCTGTCTTGGGAGGTAACTGCAGTACTGGCTGTGCAGCAGAGTCCCTTACTCCTGGTTTGTGCTGTGAAGGGATCTGTGTCTTATTTATGTCTGTATTTTAAATATGATTTGAAAAGAGACTGATTCAAAAATTTTCAATGACCCAGTGAAATCTGAACTACTTATAGCAAGACAAGAAGTATAATGCTTCAATCAAAATAGCAACTTGGAATGTGTTTTATTAAACGGAGTTCATTTAATACTACCCCAGAGTGCTGTGGATGTGAAAACACATTCTTGAATTGGAACTTTCATATCTAGGTAATAGGAATGAAGGGAAAATTGTCATTTTTAATATTGTACATTTTGGGACAAATTCTGGTCTCATATAGAACTACCCACAGCATTCCTGAGTATTTTCCAAAACTGGTGTGTCCCTGGATCCTGTATGTCACTACGAGGTGAATATGTTACAGGAAAAACAAGTAGACCCTGCACAGAGCTCTAAGTGAAATCCTGGCAGATTTAGCTTTCCTATCATTCTCTCTGCAGCATTTTCAAGGTGTTTCAAGTGAGAGAAAACAAAACAAGTCTCAGACTAAGTGCGATTGAAGAAAACCCTGAAATAAGACATCAAGGGATGCAAAATAACAGAAAAAAAGTGGATTATTTATATAAACTCTGGATGCATTTGCCTTGTAAATATTTCTTGAGTTTTGCTAGCAATATTATGCAAAAATATTTAAATGAGCAGATTTTAAAAGAGCAGTGCTGCCTGTGTAACATGGATGCTGAATCTATCGGGGACGAGCAGTTGGGAAGTGATGGGGCCATCTCTATCTCCATTAGTGGACAACTGCTGATCATCCCAAGGAAAACAGGTTTTTCCCTGCCAGCTGTTCGGTATTTCGGGAGTTTAAAAGGCTTCTGCTATCAGCCGGAGCGCGAGCGGGGAAGGCACAAGGGCTGATTTTTCCCGGACGCCTGGCGAGCTCACCGGCGCGGGGAGCGGGGCCGGCGGCTGCGGGGGCTCCGCGCTCGTCGGTGCCCACGCTGGGCCTCGGGTCCCGATCGCCCTCGGTCCCGCCGCCAGGCACCCACCGGGACATGAGGCCAAGGAGGGACTGGCGGACCAGAGCAGGCGCGGAGAGCTACGCTCCCGGCGCACTGTTAAAATACGATGAAAAAGAACTTACTAGGTCCTTATTTAGAGAAACGAAAAATCCTGTTCCGTTCACACGGAAGAACCCCAGTGCCTGTACGAATGAATTCTCATCCGCCGCTAGTGCTGGTCGCGCCGGCACCTTCCACCTCTGCCCGAATCCCCGAGACAGAGGGAGGGTGTCAGCTGAGCCTCGAGGGGACGAGTCGAGCATCGGGCTCTGCCCCCGCGGCATCGCGCTCACCGCCCGGTGCGGGCTGCGGCAGAGCCGGGCGGTTCGGAATGCAGCGGAGCCGGCGGCTCGGAACGGAGCCGAGCCGGACGGTTCGGAACGGAGTAGAGTCGGGCGGCCTGGGCAGAGACAGAGCCGGGAGGTTCGGGCTAGGGCAGAGCAGAGTGGTGCGGGCTGGGGTAGAGTCCGGCGGTTCGGAATGGGGCAGAGCCGGGCGATGCGGGATGGGGCAGAGCCGGGCGGTTCCGAATGGAGCGGAGCCGGGCGGTTCGGAATGCGGCAGAGCCGGGCGGTTCAGAATGGGGTAGAGTCGGGCGGTTCCGAATGGAGCGGAGCCCGGCGGTTCCGAATGGGGCAGAGCCGGGCGATGTAGGCTGGGGCAGAGTGGGTGTCCTCTGCCAGCTGGGCCAAGCACCCAACAACCAGGTTCTGAGCTGTCAGAACTGCTCCGCAAAAATCACAATTACAACTATAAAAGCTGATTTCGAGAAAAATATTTCTCTTTTCTCGGGATCCTACAGAAAATAAAAACAAGCTTTTCCCCTCCAGTATAAAATTAACCAAAATAGCATATCTGTTCAGGTACCATAAATAAACTGCAGCCAGAAAGCAGAACAAGATCTTTCATGTAATCTCTATATGGAATTTGGGTGTCATTCTCTGATTTGAAAAAAAAAGCTTAGAATTCTCTGACCTTGATCTCAGGTAGCTGCCTGCTGTCACACCACTGCCAACACAGCATGTTTGACAGCAATTCTTGCCAGCTTTATTTTCTCCTGGTGTGAAGAAATTAAGTGAGCAGCTCAGGAAATTTAGGTATTTATATAATTTTTAAAGACACAATTTTTTTAAAGACACATTTTTTCAAAAAAAACACCCAGTATGCTCCCCTGGGGTACTTTCAACTATGGGTAGATCAGAAGTGAAACATCTCCCATTATATCCCACTATGTAAAATCAAATTCACAAGATATTACAAAGTAATTGTGTATTTTCAGTAACCAAAAGTACTGAAGAGCTGCTAAGCCTCCAGTGCATTATACATATAATATGATAAATTCAAAAACTTGAGACTGATTAAATTAAATTGAGACTTGGTTAAATTCAAGTGAAGCCCTGGCAGGAGTGGAAGCTGAGAGGTGCAAAGCCACCCTGGTCTGGAGATGTTTAACCCCATGTGAGAACACTGATTTCACTGCACTCTGCAGCTGTCACTGTCATGCTCTTGTAAACCATTTTAAGTATCTGAATTTCAGACGAAGCTGTTTCAAGCGAACTCTTGTGCTCCTGACATCTGTGATTTGCATGTACAGAATTATCCCAGCGAATGGGTCAAGTGACTCTGTGCCCAAGTGCATGGATGCGCTGGGGAGCACAACTGGCTGGGAACCTGTGGCACAGCCACAGGGAATGCAGCGGCGCTGATTTGAGTAGTTTCCTGGTGTGGATGTGAAATGCTATGGGGTGAGAAATGACAATCAGTTCCTGGAGTGAATGAACCCATCTGTGTCCCCTGAAAAAACTGAGAGCACAGGGAGTGAAATTGTAATTTAAAAAAATTTAACACAGTGAGAGCAAGTATAAAAATACCTTTTAGATTAATTAAGTGGCTAAGCACACTTACAAATGATAAAGATTTGACAGTTTTAGGAGTCTTGTTGCTTATTGAATTTCCCTGCAGCCATAAGCCCCAGAATCCCCTTTTCAAGGGTGCTGCCTCCAGCTGCCTCTGGATGCTCTTCCCAATTCCTGCCTGTGCCCTGCACATTGACAGCCCAACAGAATCCCATACAGCAGCTGGAAATAAAACACAGCTTGATAAATTAACCTCAAAATGAGCTGGTGCAACTTGGGTGAGCATGGAGCAAGATGTAAGGGCAGCAGTGCATGGAGGAAGGTGTTGCTGGTCCCAGAAACCTCCTCAGCATCACCCTCTGCAACCTTGGATGGATGCAAACAGTTAGGGTAACATTTTTGTGTTAAGATGCCAAAAAGTCTTCCTGATTTTTTTTATAATTTTTCAGAGGAACGTGGGATCAGTTTCTGACAAACTGTATTTCTCAGAATGTAAATACTGTAGTGCTGTTACACAGGGTGAGGGTTTGGGCTGTTACAGGTCTGTGGGCACTGCTTGTGGTTGGTGCTGGTGTCGTCAGTCCCTTGAGCCACATCCAACAGTGCCAGACATTTTAAGAAATGTCACACGCAGAGGAGGGTTCAGACTATTCTGAACAAACTCCCTGAAATCCACAAGCAACAACTACCTCCTCTGTGTGCAAGACGTGCCCTCCAGGTGGTGAAGAGGGATCTGCAGGAATAGTGGGACTCCCAGCAGTGGGGATGGCAACAGGGGATCCCCAGGAATTTGCTAAGGCAGCAGCTTGGGGAGGACCATCTGCATGGAGGCAGATGCTGCTTTTTGTTGATGGAAGCCCTGGAGTTTCAGTTCAGCCCAGACAGGCAGTTGACCCTCAGAGTGGAGAGGAAGGTCTGTGGAAAATGGTGAACTGCAAAGGTCTGACACAAGCCTGCATCCTGACAGTGCTGCAGTAACACCTGCGGCAGAAGCCATGTCCCCACACCTGAGGAGCTGCTGTGCTTTGCCCTGCTGTGGCCTGCTCCCACCACCTGCCTGCTGCCCCACAGGCTGTGGGACTCCAGTTTTGCTCACACAGCTCCTGGCCAGGAGCTCTGCACTGTTAGAAATCACGCCCCTGGGTTGAGTCATACTTTAGCCAGTCCACCCAAACGCACATGAGGTCTGAGACCGGTGTACACAGCGCTACTTTGGAAGGTTTCTGTGGAATTTCCACCGCATGTATTGGATGGTCTTCAGTCTTCAATGCTTGTCCTCCCCTTCCTGAAGGAGAAACCTGCAGAGCCAGCTGGCTCTGCAAAACCCAGAAGATGGAAGTGAAATGCTGCCACAGAGAACACAGTGAAAAGCTGCAACAAACCAGTTATTTCTAAGATAACTGATGGAGGACCACTTTGTTAATTTAACAGTACACTTTAAAAACTCCCAAAACATTCTATGGCTTTGTTCTCTGTGTCCTGTAGCTACACCTGCTCACTATTCTGTTAATTACCTTTTTTCTGGTCAATGTCCATGAGAATATTACTACTTGGAGCACAGGAGTATATAAATCTCTTAAAAAGAGCATTACAATAACTTTTTCAGTTCGCCATTTGCTTTCAAATGTCTTAGTCTATATCATGATTTCAGCAAACAGACCAAGACTGCTTTCCATATCATCCTGGGGTTCCAGCTCTCTGCTGGGATCAGCCTGTTCCTGAGCAGTCCGTCTCTTTCTTCTATGCACGTACACAGAGTGGCTCTTCTCTGGCCCCTTGGGAAACAAGGTGTCTGCAGGGAGAGCAGCTTCCAGAGCCAGCTCCAAGCCTTTGTGGAATCTAGATAGAAACAATTCTGTAGTTACTGTTTTTATACATTTGCTCAGGATCTGAAAATTACTCTGAGAAATGAAAGCTTTTAGAGTGTAATCAAAACATGCAAGGGGAGAAAAGTAATTACTAACATTTTACTTAATACTGAAGAAAAATTAGATGTCATGAACAGAACTGGTTTTTTCTTACAAACCTGTCAATCCTCCTTATGTTTTCTTCCATTTTCTGATTGGCTACATGTACCAGAAATTCAATATATTCTTCAGAGACCATCAATCTCCCTTTGTGGCTCAATGGAACTTCTAAGCAGTGAGTGCTCCGCACAGCCTGAAAACACACACATGATTTACCTGGAATAAAGTATTTTAGTTTATGAAGGTTATTTAAATAATGTAGGGAGTTCATTATAGTAAAAAAACTGCTTATCCATACGATTATTTAGGTTGCTATCACCTAAAGCAGCAAGCTATTTGTTTGCTATAGCATGCCCTGTGACAGCTCCTAAGCACCAGTCAGGTCTTGGCTGATAGAAAAATCAAGGTTAACGTAACAACACAACTTCATTACATCCCTCACAGTAGCAGAGTACTTACCATTGTAATTTTTCCTCCTCTGCCAACTGTAATACCAGAGTTCCTGAACCCAGAGTCAATAGCCACTGAATGCTGCAGAAAAAATAATACTTTAACAGGTCTTGTACACTTTCACAGCAAAAAGTATTTATGGATGCCTTGCAATGCAACGTACAATCTCAATTTTGCAAAAAACATATTCAAATCATCTACCCAGTCTTATTAAAAAATAGTTACATTAAAATCCTTTTTAAGATCAAACCCACAAATGGTGGGTGGTTTTCAGAGGCCCACAGTGGATCCTAATTGAATCCATCAGTGCAGAAGGGATGCAATGTCTCCCTGGGCACTGAACTGTTTTATCCCAATGAGCTGGAAGCTCACAGACAGTCGTGCCACGCGCTGACAACGATGAGCGCAGCTGCACTCTATGTGAGTCCCTCAGCTCTTCTGCACTAATGCCAGAACAAGCCCAGCACAGCACACATCGCTCTCCGCAGTCATACTGGAAAAGCAGAAGGCAAAGGCATCGTTCAGTGCACTGAAAATGGAGCCAAATGGCCTGGCTGGTAGCAATGTACCATCTAAAATCCAACCCCTTCCGCCAGTGAGAGCAGCCCAGGCCCCTCAGGTAGCGTTTCATGCAGCAGTCTGCTTCAGCTCTAAGACTGAATTGCAGGCTAGTCTTCTTTCTTTCTAAGTACAGTAAAACGCTCACCAAGTTTAAAGCTGTGTTTTTTCATCAGCTTACTTTACTACTCTAATTAATAAACACACAGCACACTTGGGACTGTTTCTAAGTGCAACTGCTTACCCAGGAGCAAATACTTTTATTTTTGCAGGCAAGAACGTAACAGAACAATGCCACATTGCACTTGACGTGGCTTTACCAGCAGCTGCGCATCCTGCAGCTCTCGACACAGCACGTGAAGAACAAATGGTTCAAACTTGAACACAACATCACCAGTGGCTTTCTTGAGTGCTGTCATCTGGAAAATATACCAAAATATTTATATAAAAATCAGAGTACTTCCTCTTGTAAGAGTTAACAAGACCCTACTGCATACTCCTTGGCCTGAAACTTTAGCAAACTTTGCTTTGCTGGAACAAATACTAATGAAAACAAATATTCTGGAGGATGCTCCTGTGCATGTGTGAGAATGTATATGTATGGTAAAGTGAACTACAAATTGAGTGAGAACATGCTGATCTTGCAACTGCCTCTTTTGTGGGACAAAGCAATATATGCAAAGAGTAGATTATTTTGAAAACATACTAAAAATGAAAAACCCTGCACTACAGATGTTTTTAATTTCAGGGTATTTAATGATACTAAATTAACAATGCTATATAAGAGATTCTCTGTTACACCATCTTCAGGTATCTGTCTGCTAGCACAGCAAGCTGGGCTCAAGAAATTTTTTTTAATTCAAGAGTTTTAAATCTGACTCCAGACAGCATAAAATTATATAAGTTTCTGGAATATCAGCTGCCTTTAAATTTGATACTGAGTTTAAAAGCATTCTCTTAAAATAGGCCTGAATAATTTATTAAGCAACACATCTAAGGAAAAGTTAATTTTGACAGTCGAGTATCAATTCATGTTAGTAGCAGGAATAAAAACCCTTTGACACCATGTGTTTTCTATGACAACTGGAGCATTTCCATGAATAAAGACTGTATCTCACTGTGCCCTTACCACATCGCCTTTGACACATGGGTCATGTGTTACCAGGAGCCACGTGCAGTTCTTCTTCTGGATGCCCATGCCGTCCGTGTCCTAGTGATGGACAGAAACCATTAAAGTGGCTCGGTAGCTCGGTGAGGTTTAATCTTTGCTGCTACAAAAACGCTCCTTGGAAATAAAGAAGCAGCCCCTTGAAGCAAGAGCCAATTCACACCGCGACCAGACCCACTGCCACGATCCCCGTGCCGGTCCCGGTCCCTCACGCACCGTCACCATCCCCGTGCCGGTCCCGGGCCCTCACGCACCGTGACCATCCCCGTGCCGGTCCCGTCCCTCACGCACCGTCACCATCCCCGTGCCGGGCCCGTCCCTCACGCACCGTCACCATCCCCGTGCCGGTCCCGGTCCCTCACGCACCGTCACCATCCCCGCGCCGGTCCCGTCCCTCACGCACCATCACGATCACCCTCCCGTCGCACGAGCTCGTGGTGCAGAAGCTCTCGCGCGCGTTCAGGAGCCGCGCCAGCTCCGCGGCTCGCGCGTCCAGCGCGCTCTTCCGGCTGGGGTCCGGTCGCGCGAGCCGCTGCGCCTTGCGCCGCGCGAACGCCGCCATCGCAGGGGGACGGCGTCCCACGGCGGACAAACCTCGGCGCGCGGCCGGGCAGCGCGGCGGGGCGGGGACGGTACGGCCCCGCCCTTCTCCGCGTTCCGCCGCGCGGCAGCGGCGCTCCGCAGGTAGGCGGTGGGCACAGGGGCTCCCGGGCGCTCCTCCGGGGAGACGGGACGAGAATGCAGCGGCTCTGCGCTACCCGTGCCAGGCTCCACAGCCACGGGGACACGGCCGGGCTACACGGGGGCGACGGCTGTGCGAGGCGGCTCGAAGGGGCGGGGCTTGATCGCAAGGAGCGCTTCCGGGCCACGGCCGTACCGCGAGGCGGATCAAGAGGCGGGGCCTGGCGGCGAGGCGTGTTTGTAGGCGGGGCCTGGAGGCGAGGCGTGTTTGTGGGCGGGGCCTGACGCTACAGGTGTGTTTGTAGGCGGGGTCCGGCGGTGCGGGTATGTTTGTGGCGGGGCCCAGAGCAGCCCGGGGCCTTCTCTTGCCCCGCTCCCTCCCCTCTGGTTCGGTTTGTTATCACAGGATCGATCGCCCTTCGGCCCCGCGGTGTGTGCTGTGTTCCAGGCGGTGTCCGCAGGTCAAGTGGCTCAGGCTGCCCGTGACCTGAACAGGTACCTGGGATCTCATTGTGTCTTTTAGCAGATCCGCTGATCGCCATGGCAGCCACCAGGAGTGTGATGAGAGCGGTCCGAGTGTTTGAATTTGGTGGCCCTGAAGTGCTTAAACTCCAGTCAGATGTGTTAGTTCCTGTTCCAAAAGAAAACCAGGTATATGTGAGCTCTGTGAAGGAAAATAGTGATAATGAATGTTAACAAGTGCCTGCAGGACAGAATGAGAGATACAACCAAAACCATACACCTAGAGTACGTGAGTTTTGGTCAGTGTGTTCACAGTACTTGAGATATCATGCTTAACAAATGTGGGCTCTTTACTCTGCTGTGGGCTATATATTCCACATCAAGATTTCCCTGAAATTAGCTTCACTTTGACACTAGGTTGTTACAGAGGCTGTTTGAGGATTCAGTAAAAATGCTACAACACCATGCTGTGAATTCAAGGGCTAAATCATTTTAGTTATTGCTTAAGAAGTGTCTTTTCTTTTAGGTATTAATTAAAGTCCATGCCTGTGGGGTAAATCCTGTTGAGACATATATTTGTTCTGGGACTTATGCTAGGAAACCAGCTTTGCCCTACACTCCTGGCTCGGATGTGGCTGGCGTGATTGAAAGTGTTGGGGAACACGTGACTGCATTCAAGGTATTTACACACTGGGGTATAATTCACCATTGTTTCATGGGTCCTCTTTGGCTGATTGCTGTGCTACTGTACCTGGTTTTGTTCCTTATAATCCTGTAATCTCTTCAGGGGGGGAAACCCCTCCACAGACTGGTATAAGCACACAGTGGGATCCCAGTGGCAAACCAGTCTGCTGGTGGGACTGTGAGGAATGCTGTGCCCTCCTGAAGGTCAGAGCTCTCACAAGAGGCACTGCAGTCTGTCTGCTTAAAGCAGTGATATCTGGTGTACAAAAGTTGGGGTTTAGAGCTATTTTTCTGGCATTGCAGAAAAAGTTGAGATTGGAAGCTTCTTGCTGGGGGTAGTAATTTCAGGCAGAACTAAAAAATTTTCTGTAAAGTATTTGAGAAATGGAAATTGCTTACTTATAATGCTCCATAAATTCTGTTATTTGTTACTAAAATTGTTCAAATACCGTATTACTCCTGTCTAGTAATTTTATTTGGATTTCTCAGTGGGGAAGTCTCAGGACAGGAGAAGACAAATATTGGTTTGCTAAGAAAGATATCTATGACATCAATTTAGTTTTTAAATTGGTTCTCTCATTTAAGTCATTAGACATTTGGTCCCAAACCAACATAAAAATTGTAGGTAAAATTGAGCTGGAATTTTCTGATTTGGAATTTATGTAACAATTTTGGGAGATCTGAGAGACAGGGTTATCAAGAGAGAAGAATAATCTTTTTTCATATTTCCTGCTAACAGTTTGCTTTATCTGCTATGTGTGACTTTTTGCTTCCTCTGCCAATTGTGACGCTCTTGGCTTGAATGAGAGAGAGATGTCTTAGGGTATATTGAGGGAATAAATATTTCCACATTTAAAAAATTTAGAAATGTTTCTTTTGTGTTTGTAAAAGCTTTTGAGGTTTTGCATTTGGAATCTGTGCATGGAATTCCTGACTTCAGTCAAAGTTCATTAAGGTTCATATTAATGAGGCAGTAGGTTTGTGTGTTACACTGCAGGGTGGGGTTATAATTATGATACTTAGATTTAAGTATAAGAAATTATACAGTTTGTGTTGCATTGATGGTATGTATCGAATTTTATAAAAATTTCTTTGACAAATGTAACTGGTTATTTTTGATAGGAGAACTGTTAGAAATAGCCCAAACCTCTGTAAATTTCATCTTAATGCTTATGAAGGAAAAAGTAAGGGAAATTATTGATTTCTCTGTGTTCTCTCCCTCCATTCTAGAAAGGTGACAGAGTTTTCACCCTTGAAACACTTTCTGGAGGATATGCAGAGTATGCAGTTGCTGCAGCCAGCAGAGTCTTTCCTTTGCCAGACAAACTGGACTTCAGGCAGGGAGCAGCGATCGGAGTGCCCTACTTCACTGCCTACCGGGCCCTTTTCCAAAAGTAAGGCACCAAATCCATGTTTGTGCACTTCAGTCGTTGGTATTTACAATGCCAAAGTTCGTATTTTCACTGTCCTATAAAAGGGGGAGGTTGGTGAGTGGGAAATGTTTAAAAACGTTACACTGATGGAATTGTCAGATAATTGTGATCTAGGAGCTTGTGACTGTGTTTTCCTGCTAAGTCTTTTTTCTTGAGAGAACCTACCTGGAAAGGCTTCATGGAATAAAATATGTGACTCCCTTTCAGTACTCACTGGTATTTTGGGTGGGAAAGAAAAAGAGCAATAGTTCTAATTTCCTCAGTAAGCAGACAGGTGCTGTGGAGCAGAACCTCTGCTTTCCTGTGGCAGGCCAAAGTCCTGAACTGAAGCTCAGTACCAGGCTCTCACTGGCTGCTGGCTGCATGTTGCTTCAAGTCGTCAGTCACAGGATTTATTTTGCCTCCTTGTTTTCCCAAAAAGGCTTATGATATCTGTTTAGCCATAAATTGGAATATAATTGGAACATAAACTGGAAGCAATGCTGTGTGAACAATGAGATTTGATGTCAGTATCTGCAACCCCATGCTCAGTCAGTATGTGCTACAGTCACAGTGCCAGCATTTCTTGTGTTCTTCTCCTAGAGGCTGTGCCAAAGCAGGGGAAAGCGTGCTGGTTCATGGTGCTAGTGGGGGGGTAAGTATTCCAAGGAGGAGAGTGGTAGAGAACACTGCTCTCTGTCCTTGCATCTGCTTCTTCCTGGGATATGAGTTATGGTCATATTTGTATCAAGAGATTAGCAGATTAGGGTTTTATTTCAGATACTCTAGGATACACTTTCTCAGAAAACCCTGTTATTCCCAATATGTGAATATGATTTCCTGGGCTATGAGTTATGGTCATATTTGTACCAATAGATTAGGAGATTAGGTTTTTATTTCAGATACTCTAGGATACACTTTCTCAGAAAAACCCTGTTATTCCCAATAACTGTGAGACTGCACGAGTGCTGGTGTGAGTTCCCCAGTCAGAGGGTCACATTCTGAACAGGTGTTTGTTGCAGGTGGTAGTTGATCTGGAAGTTTTATTGCTGATAGCAGAAAGCTCCGATTTTCCAATATATACGAATTGTTCTCAGTCCTCTGAGAATAAGTCACTGGTGCAGGGTAACTGTGCATTTCTGTTTGCATTCTCATGTTTTTACCCATGAGCCAACAGCTGGCTGCACAGGGAAAGGTACTGGAATATATAAACCTGCAACTGAGTACTACATGAAATTGCACTTCTAGTTTTCTTTGGGTTTTCTTGACAAATTTATTTTAGATCTTTATGACCCAACATTTTAGTTTATCTCCCACACTCTGCAGTTGCTCACTTTCTGGTGATGCACCAAACAGCTTCTGTGAACAGGCCAAGTTTCCTTAATTATTTGTTAGACAACAAAAAGATGAATTCGTATCTTATTCTGAGATACTAGAATGGCATTTAGCATTGTAAGTCTTTTTAAAAATTTTCATGAACTAAATGTAGTGCTTCTATTTTTACTGGAGTGCAAAGCTGGTAAGAGACACTGAGAATTCACTTTCTAAAGAAGTGTTAATAAAATTTGTGCCTGCAGATTGTCTTTGCAATGTATAATGCTGGTATTAATAGCAGGTGATTCTGTGAAGAGAAGAATTTCCTTGGATTTGTATAAAAAATATAGGGCCCAGGTTTGACAGATATTCAGCATTCTACATCGATGTGTGTCAAATGCTGATAGCTATTAAAAAAACCTCAAAAATTTACCATGCCTTGGTAAATATCTTTTCTTTTTTAAAGAGTATTTGGCTGTCTTTGAGATCCAAATTATTGGCTAAAAAACACTTTACCAGACTAGCTTTTTAAATGGGGAAGTTCCAAGTCACTGGTAGACTATTTAAAATTCTAAGAACAAGGTAAAATAATTTTCTTTTTTTTTTTTTTTCCTCTCTTCAGGTGGGACTAGCAGCATGTCAGATTGCCAGAGCTTGTGGTTTGAAGGTTTTGGGCACAGCAGGAACTGAGGAGGGCATGAATGTGATCCTGAGAAACGGCGCTCACCAAGCCTTTAATCACAGAGACCCGAATTATACAGAGAGAATTAAGGTAGGCCTGTGTCTGGACTCAAGAATGCAGGTAGTGTTGTACTTAACAACATGTGAACAGTTGTTTGCAGAAGACTTTAAAATAGATTTATGTACAATCAGTAGTGTACTGCCTTTTTCATTTCTACACAAGGAAAAACTTTCTTGGGCTGGAAGAGCTGAGCTTTCCTCACAGGCAGTGGCATTTAGAACATCCTACATTCAGCAAATTCTAGTGTGGGATCACATCACAAGTTAGCACAGCAAAATGTGCTACAATTCAGCTCATTTGTTGTCAGCTGCAGTACAAAGGCTGCATTGAAAATTTAAACAATGAGCCGTAAAGTGGATACTTTCTATAGTGTTTAAAATTAAAGATGGTACCCAAGGACTAAAATAACCTCCTGTGTCCTGTACAGGAGTGCACAGGGCCGGAAGGGGTGGATATCATCATAGAAATGCTCTCTAATGTCAACCTGGATGCTGACTTGCAGCTGCTGTCCCGTGCTGGGAGGGTGATGGTGAGTGTCTGTGTCCTGGGCCAGGAGGGTGTCAAGTGAGTGTTTGTGTTCCTGGGCAGTGAGGTGATGATGGGTGCTGGTGTCACCCATTTTGTGCATTCAGCATCATGCTGAACAGCTCTGACTCGATGCTTTGGACTCCTTTGGGCAGGTTGTGGGCTGCAGGGGACGCATCGAGATAAACCCAAGAGACACAATGAGCAAGGAGTCCAGCATAATTGGAGTTAGTCTGTTTCTTGCAACTGAGGTGAGAAGCATTTCTGTTTTTAAGTACGCTTTATTGACTTGTTCCAGCACCCTTCTATTTACAGTTAAAATTATTTGGAGGAATGGAAGAATAATTTCACTGTAACACACTTGTTAGTTCATTCCTTTATGTTTTGATTCAATCTCAGAACATCATAAAATATTTTCAGGTTGTGGAATTTGTTTTAATTATTGCATAAATTGCCAATACTATTCTGAAATGCAAAGACCTTGTCATAAACACTGTGTTTGTTACATGCAGGAGGAAAGGCGTGAATGTGCCACAGCAGTCCTTGATGGCATAGAAGCTGGCTGGCTGAAACCAGTTGTGGGCTTGGAATATCCCCTGGAGAAAGTAGCCAAGGCTCATGAAGACATTATTTGTAGCAGTGGTGCCCGAGGGAAGATGGTGCTCCTTCTCTAAAAGAGCACCTTTTTCCATTCATTTTGTAGCTGTTCTAACTGCACCTTTGCTTACATGGTTCACTGAATGTATGTTATAAACATACCTTTGATCGTGTTTGACAGTAGCAGAAAATGCTCACTTAGATGAATTAGTTAACATTTTCTTTTTGTAATGAGCAGAGTTGCATTTACTGTACAGTAATTTTGGTAGCTTTTTTGATTGATGTGGCAATAATAAATTTTCTCTGCTGGTGTACTTTGTGCTGCAGGGAATGGTAGGGTTTGGTATCATGGAACATATGAAGGCAGAGTGAGGCCACTGTCGGTAACAGAATGAAGATGCTTTTGACAGATACACAAAAATAAATAACTCACTATGTGTGTTAATTAGAACTGTTAATTCTCTTAGCCAAAAAATGTGTACTCAAATTTTGTACTCAAATTTTGTCACATAATTTACTTGAAATTAAAGCTTTTACTGACAAAATAGTTTACTTTCCAGCTGAAAAGATGGGCAGAATCTCTCAAACACGAACTATTTGGAGCCGAGGCAGTTCTGCTTGTCTGTGCCTCTAAGGCTGAGGTGACAGAATCCTGGCCATCCAGAGGGACTGTCGCTCTGGAGCTGCATGCTGGGATTTGCCTCTTTGGAAATGATGATCATGACTGAAAGCAGCTGATTTCTGGATGGTGAATGGCTGGTTGTGAAGATTTCAGTTCTTGCTATGAGCTTTAATAAAAGTCTCCTGGATCCCTGGCTGCCCTGAGAGTGGAGGGGAGAGTGGAGGCTGCATGGCTTTGTGCACCGAGTGTTCCTGTGAAATTCCTGAAATTCCATCCGCTGAAGTGGGCAGGGCACAGCCTCAGCACTAGGGCTTGTGTGCAGGTGTCTATGTGAGGTCCCTTTGCCATGACACTGGGGTCATTTCATTGTGTCTTGTTCTCATAAACCTTAAGTCCATTGCACAACAGATGGTGTTGCCAGGAAAGATGGTGGAATGTTTCTAGAGTTAATAATTTCCATTTAGTGTTTCAGTGAGTGGTTTCAGAAAGCTGCTTGGAGAGAGAAGGACGAGGCCAACTCAGCTGTAGGACTGGCTGCCAAGGTGCAGTGGGGTCCTTCCTCCCTCTAGGCTGCCCCAGGGCACTGGAGCTGGTTCCCTTGTTTGTAGCACTTCCCACAGGAGTAGGGAGCTGTGGTTTTTATGTGAAGATTTAAGTGATTCACTTGGTGTAAGTGGTGTGTAGCTAGTGTCTCCACTGATTATCCAGGTGAAAGGTGCTGACTGTTCCTGCTGTCTCGAGCAGAATGTGGCCTGAGCAGTGGTGTCAGTTGGGAACCTGCTAGGGTTCCTCTTGACAGCTGTTGGAGAAAGTAAAACATCTCTTAATATCAAAGTACTAAACAGAGGTTAAAAGTAATGGTTAATGACATATGATTGTGGAGATGATGCGCATAAAAAGTATATACCTTTCCTTTATATTCTTTTATATTCAAATAATATTTCAAATAATATTCAAATAATATTTTAAATTCAGTCTTAATTTAGTAGGGGTCTATAACATGAATGAGAGGCTGATGGTTTGCAGTGGCTCCTTTCTTGCTTGGTGCTGCCACTGCATCGTGGATGATGTTTAGAGGAGAAATTCAGAGCAAGTCTCTGGTCTGTCGTTGTTGTCCCAAGGGCCGTGGTTGTAGTGGAGTTTGTCACCAGAAGGTGTCAGAGCAGTTCTGTGTTACCACATTATCGCTGCTCCCTGCCAGGTGACCCGGCAGAACAGCACAGCCCGACTGGGACTGACTTGTTGGGAATATCGTATAACGTTTATTCTCTGTCATTTCCAATGTATTGTTTAAATTGAAGGGTTTTTTTTTTTCATTTTGGAAGAAGTAATTTGGATAGAACTAATGAGGTAGGGCTCAGGTATGTCTGATTTGTGCAAGCCACCAATCTAGGAAATGTTGTCCTGGAGAGTCCTTGGTTCTGCTTTCTTTTTGGGACATGCTGCCCCTTGGCAGTGCAGAAAAGGATGAGGAAGAGACTGGGGGCCACAGACCATTGAATTTGGCGGAATAATTCTCAGTTTGTTGAGAATCTTCTCCTGATTTGACTGGATGGGATTTTGGAGGCAGTGGTTCCCCATTGCAGCCTGCTTGGTGCTGCCATGGGTGGTTGGAAGGGTTGAACAGGCTCTTGTATTTGTGCCGACTTTGGCATCTGCAGGAGAGGTTTGGGGTTCAAAGTGAGGAGCTGTGTACAATGCAAGGCTCTGGAAGCTGCTGTTCTATGTGTTTCTAAAACAGAAAAGAGTGGAATTGTTCTGAGAAGCAGCTGCTCTTGGTTAATCTCATTGTGCCCCAAATAAATGCTGCTTACATTTTCTAGTCATTAAAAGTCTAATTGCGTCTCTATTGTAATTGTCCTGTGTCTGTTCCTGACTTCTTCCTGTCCTGCAGGATGATACAATAAGTTAGTTTGAGACTTTAATTACAGAGTTGGGAAGATAAAATATCAAGAGAATATTGATGTCAATAATTGCTCCCTTTACAGAAATCAGATCAATATTGAGTTTGGGTGGATCATGCCACAGAAAATTTGAGGATGGTGAAGCCTTAACGTTTTGGAACAGATGCATCAGGAGCAATGGTTGTCCCTGCTATTCCTCACTGCAGGGATCTCTGCTCACGTCAGTCACTCTGGTCCCTGGAAGCATTACCCTGTGAGTTTGTACTTCAACCGGGACTTGCAAGAACTGCAGGAAGGAGGGAAAAACGAGCATGGAAGGGTGGTTGTGTCTCCTTTATTTCAGTAAATTGTGTGTCTGTAGCCAATGCACACTTTGGTGCTTCCTGTCATCTGGATTGAGAGATGGAAATCAGGATTGATATTGGAAGTGCATCCTGTCACCTCATGATATATTTTTAAGTTCCTGGATCTGTGTTGTATGAAAATGCCTTCTCCATACTTCTATTTTTAACTTTTCTTCTTTTCTTTTTCTTATATTCCCACCCCCACCCCCTCCCCCTTTTTTTCCTTTTCCTTTATTCTTTTTCTTTTTCTATCTTTCATTTCTGTTTTTTCTTTTTCCTTCCCCTCCCGTCCCAGTCCCGCAGCCCCACCCAGCCCCACCCAGCTGGAGTCTTGTGGCCAGTTCAGGCTCCTCAGTACCAGAAAGACAAGAAGCTGCTGGGGAGGGTCCAGCAGAGGGTCGCAGAGATGCTGAGGCGCGTTGCATCTGAAGCATCTTTCTAACGCTGAGAGACTGCCCAAGGTGGGCGTGCTTAGTGTGGAAAAGAGACAGCTGAGAGAGGATCTCACCAATCCATACAAACATTTCCAAGGGGTGTCACAGAATGGTGCCAGGCTCTGTTCAGTGGTGCCCAGCGCCACGATGAGGAGCAATGGCCAAGACCTAAAGCACAAGAAGTTTTATCTCAGTGTGAGGAAGAGATCTCCATGGAGGGTGGCAGAGCTCTGAAAGAGCGGCCTGGGGAGGTGTGGAGCTTCCCTCTCTGGAGACATTCCAGACCCACTTGTATGCGTTCCTGTGTCACCTGTTCCAGGTGACCCTGCCTTGGCAGGGGATTGGACTTGGATTCTCCAGAGGTCCCTTCCAGCCCCAGCAGTTCTGGGGTTCTGTGATTCTGGGGCTGCGGGCGGAGCACCGGCCCCCTCCCGTTTCTCCCTCCCTCTCGCGCGTCTCTCCCTCCCTTTCTCCCGTCTCTGCCTCCCTCCGTCCCTCCCTCCGTCCCTCCCTCCGTCCCTCCCTCCCGTCCCTCCCTCCGTCCCTCCCTCCGTCCCTCCCTCCGTCCCTGCCTCCGTCCCTCCCTCCGTCCCTCCCTCCGTCTCCTGGCTACGCTCGGGACGCGCCGGTGCCGGGGCAGCGCTGTCGCCGCCGCCGCCGCTGCCATGAGCGCCCCGCAGCCCCGGTGAGTGGGGCCGGGGCCGGGGCCGGGGCCGGGGCCGGTCCGTGCCGGCCTTTCGGCGCTGCGGGAACGGTGACGGGCTCGGGGCCACGGGCGGCGCCGCCCTGCAGCCCGCTGGGGAGAGAGCGGGGCCGGGGGTGCCCGACCTGCCTGGACAGAGCCCGGGGCTCCCCTTGGGTAAGGCCTTCCTCTGCGCAGGGGGATGGAGCCGTGGGGAATGGGCTGCTGGCTGCAGGTGAGGCCCTAGTTACCTGCCTTCGGACCTGCAGGTGTTGAGCTCAGAGCATCCGGACTTCCGAGCTGATGTCACAGACAAACAGCGAGGAACAGAGAATCTCTGCAGGTCTCTGTGACAGAATTTGGCACATCTGGTATAGTGGGCGATGATCTGAGTAAGCAAGCAGCGGTAGAACTTGCTCCTGGGCCACACAAGAAATCAGTAGCAGAACACTCCTTTGGCTCCCAACTCCGTGCGTGGTTGTGAGGCTTAAAACTTCCTCTGGGGGGGTGGATGGCAGACGGGTGCCAGGGAGAGCACAGGCACCATGCTGCCCTGTGACTCTGCCAATTAATAACTGAAGCTTTGGTGCTCTCTTACATCATTTATTTGGTGATCTCCGATTTAATTGCACTGTGAAATACTAACTGTGAAGGTTTGCTTTACAAAACACATAGGATGCCTGCTGTGGCTTTGTCTTGATATCCTTCCAAATGAGTGAGAGCGGTCTTAAAATTTACTGTGGTACACAGCTCTGGCTCTGAGTGTAGGGCTTTGGGTAAGCTGCCAGCTGAGAACAAGTATACTGTCAATAAATAATGGTGTTGATGATCATAGCATCATAGAATTCTAAGTAACCTCAAATATAAAATTACTGACCTAAGAGTGACATGTTGTCACTGGCTGTGATGCCAGAGAAACAAACATGACACTCATCTTGGGAAGAGCTTTAGACATACTCCAGGAATCTACAGATCAGTCAGTTTAGGTTCTGTGCCAGGAAAATTGTCTGCTGTTCTAATAAAACACCAGCACTTTTAGAGAGAAGAATGAATAGGATAAATGGGCAGAGATAAAGGAGTCCCAGGAATACCCAGAAAAGGGATGTGATTGCTGTGACACACAGGCTGTATAGAGCTGTCTGAGGCTGGTGCTTTCTCTTTGCTGTGTTTTTTCCGAACATGGATTTTGTCAGTTCTGCACTTCTGCCTGTTGCAGAGGCTTTAAAGGTGACTTTTGTGTGTGGTTCTTTAATACTGGAACCTTGAACTAGACAGCTCAGACAAGAGCTTCTCTTGTCCTTTTGTTGATGCCAGGAGCAGGCTAAATGGAAGCAGTGGCTGCTTTGCTGGAGTGTTCCTGGCCATCCCCAGGCACTGGTCCATGCCAGCATTTGTGGCTGCAGGAGGTTCCAGGGCTGGAGCTCGTGGCACAGCCAGATCCCAGTGGGCCTGCTTGCATTCTTTACAAGGATTTCATGGATGTTGGTTCAGGCCCAACACAATTCCTTATTTCCTCTAATACCCTTTTGAACTCTGAATTTAATTCAATATATTTGAAGACCAGCCTGTTCATAATTTAAGTGAGAAAATACATGTTCTGAGACTTTGGTGAAACAATAATTGCCACATCACTGTGTTCAGATGGGAGCTGCATTTTAACTAGCTATGTGGTCAAGGATGTCTTAGGTGGAAGGAAGTAAATTAAAAGGAGTTGGATTGAGTTTCTCCTTGCCTCAACATGCAATTGCCAGGTGATACCATAAATTAATACTTAGCAAAATTGGTAGAATCTGGTGGTTTCAAATGCAAACTCTGGATTAAAAAGGTAACATAGAACAGTTGCTATAAATACCAATATTTAACCAACAGGCATAAAAGGGTAACCTATATTGTTTGTTTAAAGTTTAGTTTATTGTTGGCAGCTACCTTTGAGGTTATTATTTCTGCTGTGAAACCTCATGTAAAATTCCTGTAAATCCATGATCTCTTTACTTCAAAACATTTCTCCTTTCTTTCCTTGAATATGCTTTTGTGTGTGGCAGATCAGTCTAGCAATAGACATATAACTGAGTTATCTAGCTGAAAAGGATGTAATAGAGGCACAGTGCATTTAAATCTACAGCCAAAGAAAACAAAAGAGTTCAGTCTCTTGTGTAACTTGAGCCCAGAGAGCCCAGAGATCAGGCTGAACATATTATGTGACATGTACCTGAGTGTGCAAACTGTACAAATGTGAAAGGATTTTGAGTATTACCAACTGCATCCTAGTGTCACTGACTTCTCTATTTGTCCTGTTTTCCAGAGGGTGAAGTAAGATATGGTTGTGCTAAGTGAAAAATATAACTGCTAATTATGAATACTTCAGTTTTTGTGTTCAGCTTTCACATCTGAGGTTCAGTTTTTTGGAACTTTGATCTTTGGTTACTGTGATGATGGTAGCGAGGCCCTGGCACAGGTTGCCCAGAGAAGCTGTGGCTGCCCCATCCCTGGCAGTGCTCAGGTCAGGCTGGATGGAGCTTGAGCAGCCTGGGGTAGTGGAAGGTGTCCCTGCCACTGGCTGGGCCCCTGGCAGAGCGGCTGGGGAGCTGTGTCAGTGCAGCTGGACTCCAGCTCCAGCACACACTGCCCTGCCCGTGGTCAGGGCTCATCCCCGGGAGCTGCTCTGGGGGCTGCTGGTGGAGGAGCTGGCAGGGCTGGCCTGGCAGTCCCACACTCAGCTCTTGGCCCGAGCTACAAGTCACGTGCTTCTGATACGGATTTCCAGGAGGCCACAAGATATTGCTTTTACATGATCTGATGGGCATTTACCTGACCAAATCCAGGATGATTTACTAAGGCAGCATTTTGTGTAGCAAACTGTTGGGTAGCTCTGTTTAATGTAGACTGTAATAATTTGTCAGTCAAGGGGATTATAAACATCTCCATTTTTTATTGCAGTATTCTTGAAACCTATAACAGTCTTACAGACAAACACCTGGTTGGATATTTCAGCAATGCCAGGATAAGACGACATCTTCAGAAATCAGGACTGGTGAGACTGAAAAGTTTTCCTCAATTCTATATTCAATTCAAAATGTTTTTATGCTTTTTTCTCCCCCCATATTTCCTTTTGCTCATTTGAGTTTCCCTCTGCAAAGTGTTTCAGTTTGTAGATATACAGCATCATATTGGTTCACTCATGGTTTTTACACTGTGAAATGTAAGCACCTTTGACTTGTTTAAATAGCTTCAGTGTTATTTTTCAGAAGTGTTTTATGGAAAACTGAAGGATTTTGTAGAGGTGAATATGCTGAACATTTTGTTGAAAAAACTGGTGCCCTCCTAGGTGTGACTCTTTTGCACAGACAGGTGCAGTAGGGCAGCAAGTGTTTAATCCTTTCCACCCCTTTGGGCAGTGGCCTGTGAAGGGTAAGGCTGAGCCCTAGGCTATTAGAAATGTGGCTGCTGCTCCTTCCATTTGGCTGGTGGAGTTCATGGGGTCAAAGATAATACAGTGCTGGAAGGTGAGTTCCACACCATGGCAGGGGCAGAGGTAGAAACAAACCAGGAGGAGGAAGTGGTCCTCTGGGAAATTGTATTGTTTCAAAACATACTTTATTTCATCTTCTCCTTTTCAGTAACATTCTATTTGTGTATGGCAGATCTCAAGGAGTGGAAGAATAATACCGGAGAAGGAATACCGGCTCAATGCCATAAGGAGGGACCACCAGAGACACGTCCAGGAGTGCTTGGCTGATGCCATATATCATAAGGTCCTCGACATTGAGGTGTGCCCTTAGTGAGGATGTGTGAGCCTTCCCAGGTGTTTCCTCACTGACAGCCAGGGGCTGCTAACTTGTGCTGGACTGTTTGCCACGTGTGCCCTCATGCTCCCCTGGAAGGCTCTTTCCTGCTGGGAAAAAGGACAGACTTTGTGCTTGAGGTTCCCCACATGAAACCTCCATGGGCCTCTCATTGTCAAACCATGCTACCGTGAGAGCAGGCACTGTCCTGGCTTCCTTATTGCTTTTTGACAGCTCTCAGATTATGAGATGATATTCACAGGGCTAGTTTGCTTAAAAAAAATCTGATAAAAACAAACTAGTTTGAATGTATTTACATATATGCTGTCTGAGTGCAAAATCTGGGCACATTCCTATGGGATATCAGGAATGGAGTTGGTTCCTACAACTTTACCAACTTTACCAGTGCTCAGTTGTTCCCTTGGCTGTGTGAATATATGCAGGTGAAATGCAAATAGATTCAATACACAGTAGTTTTATTACAGGGCTCAATGAGAGTAATGGCCAGAGAGAAGGCATGGGACAAGCAGGACAGAAGCAAGAGTTCTTGCACACACTGACATCTGATGATGGCCAGTAATGGGATTTCTCTTCCTCTTGTATTGATAGCATCATCATCAGCTGGGGAAGAACAGGAGACTTGATTGTTCTGCAAGGAAAGAGATGATGCAGCCAGCCAAGGTAAGGCTTCAGCACTGCTGATGGGACTTGGCAGTTTTGCCTGTGTTTAGTAGTAACCATGGGCCTCACCAGTGGTTCATTGAGACGAGTGCTCTGTCTCTGATGTGGAAAAGTACAAGAAACAGGCAAGTAGAGGATGATCCTGCCCCAGTTACATCTCCTTTGTCCTTTGTCCAGAAGTTCAGGAGCTTCCATTTATGCATTTAATTCCTTCTGAATCTAGTTATTCTTCTACTTCTGCAGTGCTCTTGGTTGGGTGATTTAATAATGAATTGCATGAAATGGTATCTCCTTGCACTTCTGCATAGTAATAAATGTATCTGATATGTCAGTTTGATGCTCCATTGTTCTTGGTATGACAAAAGTTATTAAATGATCTCTTTTTCCAAGGCATCTGTGGTTTTACATATGTTCTTCACATTCCTTCTCAGTTTTCCAAGCTGAAGGTGCTCAGTCTGAATTTTTCTTATGTGAACCTCTCCAGGCTTCTTATTACCGTTGCTGGTTTTTTTTACCTTTTCTCATTCTACTGTTTCTGTTTTGAAATGGGGAACCATACCAGAATGAATAATTCAAGATACGTTCTCCTCCCAGTAATTCTAGACCTCTCTGCTTTTGACTGCTGATGAGCACTGAGCTCATGTGTTTGGTTGTTTGCCTCTCCACAGGATTTGGGCAGAACTAGCATGTGAGAAATCAAAGAGGTTTTAGGAGTCTTCATTTAGCTGTCATGTAGGTTGAACTTGATTCTCTAGTTATAGTCATGGAAATCCCATGGAAGTCAATGGTTATTCTCCCCATGCAATCACCTGAATTCATATGGGAAAAGTCATCCTCATTTTGGCAGAAACATGCTCAGAATTTTATTTCTGTATTAGGAACCTGAGTGCTTTGAGAAGAGTGCCTTGAGAAGGTGGCTGCTTCATTGAGCAGCTGGTAAACAATGTCAGGTGTGTTAAACTGTAAATAATACATCTAGAAGGAAATCATGGGGTAAAGAGAGGAGGAGATTTTCCTGAAAGACACTGGTCACTATGGAAATTGCGAAGGTGTAATTTGCTGATGGAACTCCTGTGGTAGGGAGTCACCCCATGGGAGCAGTGATTCAGACACCCTGTTAAGGGATCCTGGGCTTGAATAATTTTGGAACGTAAACCAGAACTGCTTCCTTCAGAAAGACACCTGCAGACACCTGATCTGTGTGTGCTGTGCTGCCATGCTGGGATGCAGGGGCCCGGCTGGAACCAGTGGTGTAATTTAATTCTCACCTCATCTGTTCAGTGAATTCATCTGAGTCGCTCATCTGAAGAGAAAGGAGAAAGGCAGATGGCTGAGCAAGGGAGGGTGAGAGACAGAGCTGTCTGTTTGCAGTGGGGCAGCCATCCCAGCACTGGGTTGGTGAGATGAGAAGGTGGGGAGAGGCTGCAGTCACCGCAGGAAAGTGGCAGGTGCGCTCAAATTTAAAAAAGAAAGAGACCTTCAAACAAACCAAGAATTGTGAGATACACAAAAACAGACATGAATTGAATCTAGTGGGTCAGCAGCTAGAGAGAGCTGCAGGAAAATGAATCAGAGGTGGGGAAAAGTCTTTTTGCTTGTCCCTCACATTCTCCCATGATTTTCTTTCTTTCCTTAACCAGCTGCTCCATCGGGTCCAGGCCAGCTGATTGTCACAGCTGTCCAGTGAAGGACAGATGTAATGAGACAGACATGACTGGTTTTGGATTCAGTGCCTCAGAGACATAAATTGCCTTTCTTTCAGATGGAGCGGCTGATGGGAGAAGTGTCCCACATGTACTCCCCACACCCCCCCGTGGCCCCCAGGAGCCACCATGCGCTCTGTCCCTTGGTGTCCGGAGAGCGAACTGGGCGCTCACAGCGGGTGAGTCTCATCAGCTTCTCCATGGCTGCCATGGAAGCACTGACAGCTGAAAGCGTGCCCACGGACCTCAGAACAAAGCATTCACTGCCTGGGTCATTCCGGATTAGGGCCACATCCTTCATCACTTGAGGCTCATTTCCTGCTTGCTGGGTTGTGTTAAGGAATCTCTAGAAGCTAGTGTTGCAGGAATGGCACATCAGAACCTAGAAAAAACCACAAAAACCTTTGCTGTCTGATAAATCTGCTTCAGTCTTTCCCTTTTAGCTGCCTCATGACCTCAGGCAGGCCAGTATCAGTGTGTTGAGCATTGTCAGTGGACACAGGGGCTGCAGACAAGGTTACGCATGTTGTAAGGCCCTGAAAAAGGTGGGAAAAAGGTCTTTTAGAAAACAGAGTTGAAGGAACGAAATCAGACTGAAGCTCATTTCAGAAGGCTGTGTCTAGGAGCTCTGACTTTTGCTCTTTGTGAACAGCAAAGAAGGAGTGTTAATATAATGAAAATATACTTGAAATATAATAGTACTAAAGCCTGAAGTCAAAGGTCAAATATCTAGGTCAGTTTCAACTGGTTCTCTATATCAATAATGATAATTGATGCAGATTGAAGATAAACTTTTGAGTCCTGAATGACCTTTTTTTCATATAGAGGGGACCCAGACTTAGACTTGATTATGGTGATGGACGTTATTATTACCGAGCCAAGGAGCCTCCCTTCTCTAAGGTGGTGAGTTAACCTCAGTTAAACAGTGCTGTTGGATGTTAACATTTTAACTTGGCATTATGAAGGGTATACAAGGAAAACATGCAATAAAACAGTCAGAAAAAGCTGAAAATTGAACAAAAATGCTACATTTATGTTGTGCATTCTCCCTGGGTCCATGTGCTGAAGTCCATAGCACACTGCTACAGTTTCTGTGAGTTCATTGTGTTTGGTACAAGACTGCATAGTGAGGAGATAGTAGCAAACCTTGTATTTATGGCCAAGAGTTGTTTTGAATGGTCAGTTAGAGGTGCCTAAAGGGGTCTGGCTCTTTGGAGGCAGACTAGAAAATGTCATGTCCTCTAGGTACCTGTAATCACTCACCACTTCCAGATATCTCCATCGGTGCTATTGTTTTTCTTTGTGGCACTGCTCTGCACTGGAAGCTATACACTGAGATTTTGTCATTGTTTTCTTTCTCCTTTTGTAGAGTTCCTTGTGACCAAATACAGTTCCAGGAAATAAACAGCAGCCCCCTCACCTCCAGCCCCTTCTTGGCGGGGCTGCAGCAGGGTCTGTATCAAAGGCTTCCAAACAGAAGTGCCATGCACTGGAACATTATCAGCAATTTGCCTGTGGGGTGAGGCTGTACTTCATTCTGAAAATAAACTGTCCCACTTTAGGGACAGTTTTGTAATATTGTTTAAATACTGTGGTTCCCAAAAATGTACATGAGAGAGAACATCCCTTTCAAATGGCATCAACTTTTATTTAAACTGTCCTTTTTCACTTCCCCTCAATTTTCAAGACACTGTCTTACTGGTTTAATGCCCAGTTCTTGATCACAGTGAGGAAAAATGTGGTAACTTACCTTTTATAGTATAAAATCTTTCTGCATACAAATTTTCTCCCTCTATGTAGATTTTCTCTTATGTAGAGAGAGAGACAGCACCTGGTTGACTCTAGGAACTTTGGAATATTTTCAGTTGCAAGTCCTACAAGTTTTCTTCATCACCTACAAAGGAGCTGCAAAGTAGCAGAAAATTCCTTTGTTTTGATGATTCCTTCTACTAAATCACACTAGTGGGCTTAGAGAATGAGAGTCAAACATGGTTTTGATATATTTGCAGTTACTTTCAAGTGATATTTGGACTTGTCTTCTGTTCTAGAAAAACATAATGTAATTGGTTTTGTGGTATGCGTTCCATGGGGTGAGAGGGCTTTGGAGTGGGACTGTGATCTGCTACCACTGGCTGGTAGACACTGTGTAAATAGCTCCCTTCTGATCTGTGTTTGCTGTGTATCACCATGGTCATGATTCTTCAAGAATTTGCTGGTTGGTCCTGTTTATGTCTACTCAAATTATGGGTGATTTAATGGTTTCTTTAGTGCTCACAACTGACAAAACAGTTGTGAGCACTAAATCAGATGCAAGTTCTGAGAACATGATGCAGAACTCCGAGCCACAGCATGCAGCGTTTACAGAACTTGTTCCCTAGTAATGTCTTGCTCTTATGGGCTGTGGTCCATTTCATTCTGCAAGAGGACTGAATCTCTATTCAGATGAGGAAGCAGCATTTTGAAGCACATCTTGTATAACTGATGCCAAGTGATGTTTCTGTTGGACGGCTGGCTGCTCTGGGGATGTGCTGTCCAGCTGGAAGGGAGCAGCAGTGCTGCAGGGCTGTGCAGGGTTCTGTCTGAGATGAGATCTTGGTGGTGCTGGAGCCAGGGCTTGGTGTGCAGTGCTGTCTGTATCTCTGAAGGTGACATTTTCAAGCAATATGAATGTTGCCCTGCAAATTAAAAGAAAGTGGTTTAGCACAGAAATATTTTCATGAGCAAAATTTCAGGCCCTGAGTCAGGAGCTGTTTCAGAAGGATGCCTGTTGCTCGGTCTACCAAGAAGTCAGACCATGGCCAGTTCCATTTGCTCGGGATCTGGTTTTGCAGAAGCTGTGTCATGTCATTAAAATGTTTTTCCAGGGGCAGAGCAGTGAGCTACAGTTTAGGAATCCAATGGATTACATGTCTGGTGCGTCACCGTACCGGCCCGCCAAGCGTCGCCGTCGTGCGGCGCCGTTGCCACCGCCCCGCCCGCACGTGGGGGACAGGTGTATCCCTGGAATCAGGCGTGGGCTGCCCGTGGAGAGATGGTTTCATCCCACCACTGGATTCAATGAGCAGTTTTTGATCAATGTGAGTAGTCTTTGTCCACATACAGGTGTATTGCATTCCTCGCTGGTGTGTTCGCTTGATGCTGAAAGATGCGCATACCTAGTTTGCATAAAGAAAATGTATAACTATTAAAATATATAATTGCTATGCATGTCCCTGTAAACTAAAACATTTGGTGTTTTTCATCAGTTGGGGAGAAAAAAGGTGCTGAACAACAATGTAGATTAACAGTTATTCAAAGCCTGCCACTTCAGTCAGTCCGATCCTGTCTCTGGCACCAGAATCTCAGGAATTTGTGAAATGTCTTGAGTCTATGAACACTGCATCAGTTACAGTGTCTCCAGCCAGTTTTAACTCCTGTAAATAAAGTTGTAGGAACCCTGGACTGGGTGGGATGGTATGGGTCATTAAACCTGGTCCTTGAAATTTGGGTTTTCAGTTGGAAATGTATCCCACACCCTCTGCATGTTACAAACACTTCCCCATTTAATCAGCTCACCTTTTGTTATAAAAGCCTGGAAGTCTCAAGTGTGGGCTGCACAGATGTGAGCTTTGTTTTTGCCCCTTGTTGGAGCTGGGAGCTGAAGGCATTTCTGTGCATTTTCTGCTGCAGAATACCAATGGGTTCCCCAAGTCCCCATTATGCAGCAACGCCCTGGTCACCATGATCTACCTGGGAAAGAGTAAGCATGTGTCACTCCGTGATCACAAGGATGAAATCAAAGTCTATCAGCAATACTGTGGAACAGAAAACATTTGTGTCTATAAAGGCGACCTGTTGGAAGGAGGTAAGGATGGAGCCAGTGAGTTCATATTGATTGTGGCAACATCGTTTTTTTGTTAAAGCTTTGCCCTGACATCAGAATGATTACAGCTCAGCTTGGTCAAGATATATGCATCCAGGGATGTTTATACCATCTGCCTCCACATTAAACCTGGATCTACTGTCCCATGATTGAAAGTGAGGTTACAATTACTTTTGCAATGATGGTAGAAGAATTTAGAGAATTGATTTAACAAAATACTTGTGGCTTATGCTAATTATCTCTAGAGATATATGATTAATAGAGCAGTTGTAGTAATAAACTGTCCTTAAAAGGGGGTGATCTGAGTTGCTAATATGGGTTAGTGAATGTTGCTTCTTATTCCAGAAGGAAAGGTACATAGTGAGAGCCTGGTTCCCATCTCTTTTTGGGAAGTGTGAGTGCAATTTCATCACAGCAGTAAAAGATGAATTGTGTTCTGGAAAACTGGACATAGGAAATGGCTGGGAGACTCTGGTCTTTGTCTTGCTCTAGCAGTGAGTGGCCAAACTGACAGTGTGACACTTGTCCTAGCTGTCCCACCTTAGGATTCTGGGGCTGGCAAGAGCCAGGGCTGTGTGTGTGGAGGGGTCGAGTTTAACCAACTGTTGGACAGACCTGAGAACCCCAGTGCCTGTCCACAGAGGGCTGGCTACTGTGGTGATGCAGTTAAGATACAGCAGTTGCTACAGGCTGACAGTGAAGCACAATGTTTTTCTTTGAACCCTTTATTTCTGTAATTGCAGATACCTTCCAGTTCATCTCTAAGAGGTACCTCGGTTACCCGTTCAGCCTCACCTTTTATCTCAACGGGCTCCAGGTTGACAGGCTGAGCTCTTGCTGTGAGTACAGAGGCTTTCAGAGTAAGAGGCCTTGCCGGCTGCGACGCAGAAACACCTACTTCAGGGTGCTCCATGTGGCAGGAGCACCTCCTTGCTACAGGTATGGGGAAAGTGCGCTTTGCTCACAAGGACTTAGCTTAGAGAGTGTCTAACTCGTTTCTCTTCCTTCATCTCCCTGGCTCCACGCAGCTCTGTGGAGCCTGCTCTGTGTCTCAGTGCCCCGTGGAAGGGGCAGGGTGGGGGTCACCTCTCAGGGTCTCCCATCCAAGGGCACCAGCTCAGCCGGTTCCTGTGGTGTGTGCACACAGTGGGGACACTGCTTGTGCTGGAGCACGGGGCAGCGGCTCTGGGGCGGGCTACATGTGCCACCCGCGTGGCAGTGGAATAAATACCGAGCATGCTGCTCAGTTAGCTGTGCTTTCCAGAGGCTTTTTTGTGATAATTGATTTTTAAACATCTCTGCCTCTGAAGTGAGATTCTGTCGTAATAGTCCTAGCTTCAGAATAAGGCAGCACTGACTATTTGTTATGGTTCAGAAACCAAATCTGTGCAGAAAGGTCTTGGGCAAATGTCAGTGCTGTGACCAACAGCTGTGATTCTGCCAAGAGGCTTTAATTTTCATAAAATCTTCCTTTTCTGTAATTGTTAATTCAGGCCATACATAAACTTACGGAGATGTGGATAATTTAAAATCTTCTGTGTTATTTTAATAAATAATTTTTTAAAGAGCAGCTAGCAGTTGGAACAAGAGACTCTTCACAGAGGTGTACTCTGTTCCTTCAGGCAAGGACTGAGTTCTAGGAAAAAAATGCTAGTTTATTGTACCACAGTCTAACAATGAACATGATTTATGTTCATTGCATGTTCAAAGGAGTGAGAAGCATCTGAATTCAGAATGCCTATAGTGGCTATAGATTTTAGGAAATGCCCCAATCTCAGCTTTTTGTGATTTCTATAAAGATATGAAGTGAATTTTCAGAATTTAATATAGTATCCAAAAACTGGATTAATTAATTCCTAAGTTACTCTCCCTTTCTGTCCCCCTTTCCCTCTTAGTGATATCTCTCTTTTCCTGCCTCTTATCAATCCAGCCGACCTTATCTCATGACTAAAAATCATCTCCATTAACCTGATTTTCCCCATAAATGACAACTATTTTCACACCCCTTCAGGCCAAGTGCACTTGGGTTTGTTTTCTGCTCTATGACATACATTGAATGCCCACTCTGGTTCCCAGTAAAAGTCCCAGTTGATTTTCCCTGGTGGGTCAAGGCTTTGGCTCACAACGAGGTGATGCTGCAATGGTTTCTGTACCATGCTGCAAGCCTTGCTCTGAGACCTTTCTGCTGGCCAAGAACCAGCAATTCTGTAGAGCTCCTGACTGTGAGAGAGGGAGAGGGGGAGCATATCACTCCATTTTATACAAGAGAGGCAGTCTCAACAACTCATTCAAAATGCTTTGTTTTCCATCTGTTTGGGTTTCTTTTAAGTAGGTAAACAGAACAGAAACAGAAAATTACAAACTTTGCACCTTTTTCTTCCCCCACAGTTCTTAGACCCAGCAGATAAATACAGAAACCCCCAGTCTTACCCTCAGCTATCACACTACTGGGAGTTACAGCAGGATCTGGATCCAGAACACATCAGAGCTTGTCTGCATTTCTCAGTGGTCCTGTCTTCACAGCCAATGCTCGGTGCAGCTTCAAATTAATAGGCACTTGTATTAATTTTGGTTCTGTTTGTATGTCAGTTGTTGCCTGTCAGTGTAGGCATCATTACTGTCCTTCAAGGAAGAACTGCATCTGTGTTGGGGGAGCTCTCAGGGATTTCAGGGTGCTTCTCCTGCGAGCCATTGTGGCAGTGCAGAGGCAGATGGGTGCTTGGTGTCCCTGCAAATAACAAGCTGAACTCGCTATGTCTGCTGCCCTCTGTTGTTCAAAGGAAGAAAAATGTGATACTTCCCAATTTGCATTATTTTATAGGTGCTTTCTTGCGATGGGTCTGGACAAAAAGCTATACCCTCCCAAGAGGAAGATTAAGTACTACACGAGGCCGCACATGTGCTCCTGTTCTCCTTACTGCGCGCACAGCGAGCCCTGTGACAGCAGCGTGGTGCCCAAATCCATTGAAGGCTCAGTGTCGCTCACCATACCCAGCCAAGAGGAAAGCATTGAAACTATTGATGAAACACTCGACTCTGAAGAGGAGTGCAGCGAAGAAGAAGAAGAAGGAGAAGAAGAAGAAGAAGAAGAAGAAGAAGAAGGAGAAGAAGAAGAAGAAATGGAAGACCAATCTTTTGTGGAGACTGAAGGCACCACTCAGGAAACCGCCAGTGAAAGTGGTATAGTATTCCCAAACATGAGCAGGGGATGAGAAATGGGAGGAGATGGTTCTGGAGAAGGTCTGGGATTGTGGACTGCCAGCTTTGACCGGGGCATGAGAAATGTGGTGATGTTTGTATCTGGGCCACAGAATTAGAGGGGCTCCTTTCAGCCATGCAACAGGATGAGGTGGTTTGCAAGAGCCAAGAAAGTGAGTAAGGAAGGGTGGTGAGGCAATGACTCAGGTTCCCCAAGCAGCTGTGCCTGCTCCATCCATGGAAGCATTAAAGTCCAAGTCAGACGGGGCTTGGAGCGGTCTGGGATAGTGGAAGGTGTACTCAGCTATGGAGGAGGCATCAAGCTCAGTCTCTGCCTTTACTTCCTCCTTATCATAACCTTCTTTGGAGGCAATCACATTCACAGAGAGATTTTAATTCCTACTTCCTATTCCTATTTTTGCTTTGACAGTTCTGCAGTGTTGCTACTCATCTGACAGTCGTTAGTCCCTCCGGATGTGTGTTTGGGATTAACGAAGCCTTTTTCCTTCAGGAGGAACTGCCCTTCTGACAGAGACCTCACTGCCAACACTGCAATCGGAATCTCAATTGATTTTTAATACAGAAAAATAAATCTCCTTATTCCCTTAGTTCTCATTGTCTTGGTAATTGTTTGTTTGCCTGACTGGTTCTGCATCAGGAACTCTTCATTTCTGTCCTTGGTGTTCTGTCACTTCCATGCGTTAAAAGCCCCGATGGAAGGAAAGGAGGGCAGCAATAAAATCTGCAAGTGGGGAATGCTGGCCACAAGGGCCAGCTGGTGTGGCAGCAGCGCAGCTGGCCTGCGTGGTGCAGTGTGCAGGGAGCCCGCGGCAGCAGGGCAGCTCTGGATTTTAGGTGGGAATCCCCGGCATCCCTGTGCTGTGCCTGGGATGTGCAGAGCACAGCTTGGGGGGAAGGGGGCCTTCTCTAATGCATCTGCATGAAGAGGGTTTCACCTCCAGAGCCAAGCAGAGTGCAGAGAAGGGCCGGGAGCTGGACTCGAGGGTCCGTGTGGATCCCTTCCAGCTCAGCTGACTCTGTGATCTACCAGATGTCAGCCTGGTGCCTGCCTGAATTCCAGAACGTGGATATAAGAGTGGTAATTCTGTGCAGGCTTTGTTTGCACTGGGTTTTCCCCTGGGTCCTGGAGGAGCACGTTAGAGCACTGTGATAACAGAGTGCCTCTGCAGTGCCCTTTGGCTGGAGTTCATTAAATTCATTGAGCTTCTAAGACACTTCTTTGCTATTTAGCCATGTCAATATACATTTATTGTACTTTGCAGTATAATATACTACCTTTCTCCAGCTTTCTCAATTGCTTGTAATTTTTTTCATCACATCCAGTTTTTCTCCTGTTATAAGAGATTCTTACATTTAATTTCTGAGTTTTCCCAGCTCTAAATTTTCACTTTCCATGGCTGGTAACTTTGTTTATTTTTGTTTTAATGAATTACTCATACCTTTAGTTTTGCTACATTTTTGCTACTCTATGAAAAACACAATGCTGTTTTATGATAATATGCTCTTATAATTCCTATCTGTGGTCTTAGATTCTCTCATGGCTTTAAAAAGACTATGCAAATTCAAGGGCAAAAGGAGATTAATGATGTTAATTAATATCAACTCAGAATGTTAACACTGGCTCAGTGTTTCTATCTGCTTAAAAAGAATTTTTTTAATTGTGAATTCTGTTTCCTGTCTCACAGTGCAATTCTTCTATTTTAGAATATGATGAAGATTTTGAAGCAGATGAAGAAGTTAATGAAGAGAGACAGACTGGTGATCAAATGAATGGAATGTCAAAGTCATCCTCAAATGATAAAAACCATAATTTAGACTATGGAAAGGAGAGTGAAACCTCATCTCAGAAGGCACTGCAGGCCTCTGACGGTGAGAAAGATAAAAGTGGCAGATATTCTGATGACAGGGACTCTGAAGATGATCTACCAGGTTAGTTTTGTTCATAACAAGGCTTGGAGAAGCTGACCTGACGCATGTTTTACAGTTTGCATGTGTCCAGTATGTTTGTTGAGTCTGCATATGCCCTTCCTACTGAAATGCTAAAAGACAGCTGTTTTATCTGCTATTAATGGTGCCACTGAAGTGCAGGCAGCCCCCTGGCAGTGAGAGATGGGCCTGTGCTGAGATGGAAATGGAGCAGGCAGCAGGCAGGTTCCCAGAACCTTGGCAGGACACAACCCTCCCTGCCAGCAGGCACTCACAGTGGGAATCTGTGACCCCTACACCTTGTGAGGGATCCCAGGAGACCTGACAGGCCACCCTGGGTTATAAAACTGCTGTCTTTAAGGGCCCTGAATATGGCCCTAATTTATTTGGCTGTGCCAGAGATCTGGAGATAGTTAGACTGTCTGAAGGGAAAGGTGACGGTGCTGTGCAGGGCTGGGAGTTGGACTTGATGATCCTCGTGGGCCCCCTCCAACTCAGCTTATTCTGTGATTCTGTGATTCTGTCGGTAGAGGAACCCGCTTGGGTTTCCCATGATGGAGCAGTAGTACTCAGAGTGGGAATCTTTAAATGGGGCTGTAAGGTCTCTTGGTGCAACATGTTTTTCAGAACATGCGCTTCTGTATGGATTATAGTTCTGACACTTTTATTTTCTTTGCTTGACTAGATTTTTTGGTCTTGAGTTAGACCAATCTCTTCTTGAAGCCATGTAGATAGTGGACAGCAGCAAGGCTGTGCAGCAGTCAGCTCTGCTGCTCAGCTCACTGTCAGATGAAGAATTACGGCCTTTTTTCCCCTCAAATTTTCCATTTATGAATTTAATATGATGGTGCTTGTATGTTTTTTTCGAGGAAACAGTGAACTTCATCTCCAGTTCAACCTGAAGGGTTTACACATGGTTTTGGAGATCTTTCTAATATTCAATGAGTTAACAGAAAGGCACTGAGGGATTGTTGCTGTGGTTGAAGTCTTTTATCTAATGAAGCTCAAGAGTCTGTACTAAACCCTGTCTGAGCCATATTTAGAGGTGCATTTGGAGGTGTATTTCTATATGATTGATAGAACTACTCTATAAATCTTTGATTTATTTCTATTATCAGAAAAAAACCCACCACGTTAAATGGCTTTAATTTTAATACTTCATAGATCTGGGCAATGTTCTTCTATTTACACTAACTGTAATTTTGTCACAATATCCTCAGATTGTATAATTCAGAGAATGCTATTGGATGGGATTGTGTCCCTTTGTGAGTGCCCAGTGAATGCAGAGGTTTAGTGACAAATACTAAATTAAAATTTGCTGTTTTCAGAGAGGAGGCCTGCAGACTCTCTCTCATCCATGAGCACTCAGTGCAGCACTGAGACTGACTCTCAAGCTGAAATGAAAGCAGACCATGTGAATTGCAAAGAGGACTGCAATATCAAAAGTACATCTGATAGTGCAGCACATGCACACTGTGGAAATGAGAATGGGGAGAAGAAACTGCTCAGAGTGGAGGAAAATCAAGAGAATTCTGCACTGGAAAAGAAAGGAATAGATGAAGCAGAAAAGACAAAACCAGAAGATCTAACAGCAAGGGAAGATACTGGAATTTTTCATGAAAACATAAGGGCAATGCAGCATCAAGATCCTGAGGTTAATGGGGAATTCAAACAGACTGGGTCAGGAGAAAGTAACATGAATGAGGAGGAGGAATGTCCTCCAGTGCCTTGGGAAAGCAGGGTATTGAGCAAGGAGGATGGCAACGAAGAGGCTCCTTGGTGTGAGGAAGGAGGTGGTGAGTACAGTCCCTCTGCACAGCTCTGCATGCCTGGCTGCTCTACTTGCCTTGCACTCATTCGTGCTGCAGCATGGGGAGCTGCTGTGGGCTCAGTATCCACTCAGAACACTAACAGTGGCTCAGTGTTTCTCTGCTAGTGTTTAAAGTCCAAGGATTTGTCCAAAAACGAATTTTAAACTATTTCAAAGCTGAGCTGGCTGAATGGCTTCTATTCCCCTTTTGCTCTTTAATGGTTTCTCTTTCTTGCTTCCTGTTTTCTTTGTGATAGTTTTTGAAGACTGCAAACCAGTCCAGGAGAAAATAGCAAAAGCAACTGGAAATGATCATCCTGTGAATTCTGACCCTGAGCCTGGTGATTTGTGTGCCAATGAGGAAGAAAAGAATGCAGCAAATACAGAGCATGGTGCCAGTGGAGGTAAGATTGGCTGTCAGTCAGAGACAAGGATTACCTGAAGTCTTTTAATGGAAGTATTTGCCCTTTCCCTTTCCTTTGGCTATCAAAGTCTCCTTGTGCTTTTTTTCTTACCTAACTTGTAAAAAATCAGGTGATGACTAGCTGGCATCTGTAGTCGTGTATAAGTAATGCTTTTTTGGCCGTTAAAGGGTTCTAGGAGAAGAATCCAGGCCATGAAAAAATTTGAGTCAGAAAATAGCTGTGGAAAGCAGGAATGTAGTGAGGTACCATGTGCTTCCTGGTAGTGTGCAGCCTCCTTGGGAAATGCCTTGGTTCCCAGGGGCGGGAATTAACCCTGTCCTATTCCCTGGTACAATTACAGAATCCACAGGAAGCTGAATGTTCTTTGTCCTTTCTGTGCATATTTCACATGAACAATTTGTCAGCTATTTCTGACTTTCTGGGTGTCACTGTCAAGCTTCTAGGTGTTGCACACACACACAAACTCCAAGCAGGTAGGGAGGGAGGCAGAGCAGGCAGGACAAGCATGACTGGCCCTGCATCAACTTTTTTAGTTAGATTCTTTATGCCAGATGCCAGAACAGCAGTATTAAATCATGGTCAGAGTGCAGGGATGTGATGAGCAGCAGCACAGCAAGTTCTCTTCGGGTGCCCAGGCTGATGTGCCTCATGGCTGGGCAGAAATGGCACCTTTAGCACTAACCTTGTGAAGCATGTAACACTGACAGGGTGCTGAGCAAACCAATGTTTGGTTATCTCCCAACAGCAGCAGATGGAAGGCTCCTGGCAGAAGGGAGGAGAAGCCGGGATGTGCAGGAGGCAGCAGGACAGGCGGCACGAGCAGGGGAGGCCACAGGGCCGGGACAGGCCCCGGAGCAGGACGGGGCTGCTGAGGGAGATGCTGGCAGCGGAGAGGCCGCAGGAAAAGCTGCAGGGGCAGGGAATGCACTGCCCCAGGCCGGCACGGGGGCTGCGCTGGAGGAATCCGCACCTGAGGAGGGCACCGTGGCACAGGAACGGCCCAAAGGAAAGGGAACGGCGGAGGCAGTGGAGCTGGGCACAGAGGGGTCACCTGGGGAGCAGGAGGTGCTGGTGGAGGGGATGGACAGAGAGGTGGCACTGGGAAAGGCAGCAGCTGGGACAGAGGGGCCAGCTGGGGCACTGCCAGGGTGGGAGGCAGACAGAGCCGTGCCCCAGGGGCACGAGGGGGCTGGGGGCACCAGTGAGGAGGAGGCTGCAGACGAAGGCCTCAAAGGAGCAGTAGGGCCCCCAGCCGAGGAGGAGGTGGGCGAGCCGGTGTCTGAGGCAGGGGAGTCCCTGGGGCAGGGAGGGTCTGCAGGGAAGGACACGACAGTGGGTGCTGTGTCAGAGGGAGAGGAGGTTGGGGAGGACGCTGATGTGGCAGCAGATGGGAATGCCAGAGCTGTGGGCCCTGGAGGAGAAAAGGCTGTTGAAGAAGACTTTTCTGAAGGGGGGGAGGCTTTGGTGAAGCCTGGGGCTCTCTGGGAAGCACTAGGAGGTATGGAAACAGGAGAAGCAATGTCTGGAGGGGAAGGGTTTGTAAAGCCAAGTCAGTTTTCCCAGATGAAAGTGTCAGAGGAAGAGTGGATGGAGATGGGGAAAGCTGTCCCAGGAGATGCAGCAACACTTGAGAGTGCTCAGGCTCTCCAGAGAGTGGAGGACACGCTGGAAGAGTCTGTGGAGCCTGACAAGGGTCCTGTACTGGAAGTGGCACCTGGGTTGGGGGCTCTGGGGGGTGCTCGGGGGGATCCTGTCACTGAAGGGTTGTCACAGCTGGAGGAGACACTGGCAGTGCAGGAGGAGGAGGGTGCAGCAGAAGCACTTTGGAGTGGAAACCCATCTGAGGGCAGCAAAGCAGAGACAGAGAGAGCAGTGGAAGGAAAACCCGAAGGAGAGGCGGTGGGAGGGTCTGCAGGGGCGGCCGGAGCGGGCTCGGGGGATGAAGAGGAGGCCACAGATGGAGCAGCAGGTTCGAAGGAGCCGGCAGCTGGGACAGAGGGGTGGCTGAGGTGTGGGCAAGGGAGAGGGAAGGGGGGGTGTCCCGGGGCGGCGGCGGCGGGGCCGGGCGGGGGCCGGGCCGGGGAGCCGGGGCTGGTGGCCATCGCTGTGCTGGGCGGCCAGGCCGGGCCGGGAGCCCTGCCCGGGGGGCCGGCAGTGCCCGGGGCGGGCGGGCTGGGCACAGGGGCGATGGCACAGCCGGGGGTGACGGGGGCAGCGCCGGGGCCGCAGAGCGGGGCAGGGCCAAGGCCGGTGTCGGCCACGGGCAGGGAAGGGCCGGCCGGGGCACCTGCGGCTGCTGCGGGGAAGCGGGAGGCGGCAGCGGGGGCCGAGGCACGGGCAGCGGGGCCGGCCGGAGCCCAGGGCCGGCTGCGGGAGCCGGGCACGGAGCCGCCCGGGCCCCCAGGGCGCCGAGAGGGGCTCGGAGCGGGGGCGCTGGGGGAACAGCCCGGGGCAGAGACCGCCCCGAGCGGCCCCGGGCACGGGGGAGTGGCAGCGAGGGGGAGAGGAGCGTCCGTGGAGGGGCCGTGCCCGAGCACCCGGCCACAGCCGGCAGGGACAGGGACGGGGACGGGACCGGCGCGGGGCAGGCACGGGCGGCAGGAGCAGGGCATGGAGCGGGCAGGAGGGAAAGCCGCGGGCGAGCAGCCGAGTGCCCCTGAAAACACGGGAGAGGGCGAGGGGGCCGCTGCTGCAGCCGGGGAGCAGAGGAAGGACAGTCCCGTCGGAGGGAGCCCGGGTGTCCCGGCAGCCGCTGACGGGGGCGAGAGGAGCCGCAGTTCCCGTCAGGTGAGTCCTGCCTAGGGCAGCCACTGCCCCAGCAGTGCCCAGGCTGATGATTCCTGTCAGACGGGATACACCGCCTCGTCCCATTCCTTATCCGTTCCTCAAATGTCTGCTGATGGTAGCTGGGTCAAGGGATGATAAGTCCTTTTGAGTGGCGGCTTCTGCGTTGTTTCCTATTCCCCAAATCCCGTGCAAATAAATCCCTTTGCTGTGGCACTAATTCTCACAGCCCCTTCGCCCTCCCTCCCCTCCAGGAGCGTGTCGCAGTTCTGGGGCATTGGGTGAGCCCTGGGAGCACTCGGCTTCCCTGGAATCCGGCCTCTCCTTGTAGATGTCACAGCAGTACCTCAGCAGCTCCGAGTTCAGCACGTTTTCTCTGACGTTTGGTTGTTGTTTTGTAGGATAGTGCTAACCCAGAGCCACTCATCATGTCCTCAGAAGAGGATGGGGAAGAAACTCTGCTCTGAGCTTTTCCTGCAGCCCCTCAGTGTCGTGTCCTGCCACACGCACTCAGCTGGCCGTGGGTTTGTGCCGGCTGGGATGTCGCTCCTCTCTTCACCCTGTGAGTAGCGCAGCCACCTGTCACGTTTCACTGGAGCAGCTCCTCAGCGTGCAGCAGACAACCGAAACAAGATTGCGTCTGCCAGCCCGGGAAACAGCACTCCTTTGGAAGGATGAGGACAGTAATCACAAGGATTGTTCCACAGCTGTCTGCCTTGTTTTTCTTGAAAACCAGAGAAATACTGGGCTGGCTGAACTTCCCTCCTCCCCTAGGCAGGCAGGGCTTTTATCCTGGGATCTTTCCCACGCCGTGCCAGGGGAGGGGACCCCTCCTGCATGCACAGTGCCCCTGTGCCAGGAGCGTGTGGGGGGCTTCCCTCCCCTTGGGCATCCAGGCTTGCTGCTGGCCACGCTTCAGGGCATTCTCAGCACGTGGAAATGTTGTTGAAAGTTCTTAAATCAGAACAATTCCAACAGGTATTTGTAAATGCATAAAGCTGGGCCTTCTGCTTTTGCTGGAGTCACTCAGGAGTAGTCAGTGGAGCCTCAGCTGAGGCTGCCAGGAGGGTGGTGAGTTTAGAGTTGTCTCAGCCTGGCTGCCCTTCTCTGCTACCCAAGGCTCTTCTCAGCTCTGCTGCACCTCTGGCAACACTGGGGCCCCAGGACCCTTTTGGGCCAGGCATCTGGGGCTGGGTGTGCAGCAGCCTGTAGGCACTCCAAGCTTGGTGGGTGCAGCAGACCCAGCCCCACAGAGTGGGGACCGTAACTGCGTTTTCAAGTAGGGAAAAGATGCTGAAATGAGCAGGATTTTGAGCAGATTGGTGCTGTGAGTCACTTCTGATCAATATACATGGAACTGGAAACTCAAACGTGTTCAAGTGGTTGCTGTGTGTTTGCTCCTAGAGATGTTCCTGTACTAGAGCTGGTTGCATTTGTGTGTTTAGTCTGCACATGTCTCAGAGGGTTGTGCTTTCTCTGTCCATACTCATGCCTATTAAATACCTGTTCACTCAGGCCTATTAAATACCTGTACCAGTGTGTGCAGCTCCTTCAATTTATGCCAGGGATTTAACTGTAGGAATAAGCCCTGCCAGTGCAGCAGGGCCTGAGCTTCAGTGTCTTCCTCTGGTTGCCAGTGGGCTGACTGATGTTGGGGTGAGTGTTTGTGCCACTAAAGCTGCCCTGTGCAGGTACCCTCTAAAGCTCACGCTCAGGGCTGCAGGTGTGGCCACACCTGGGCATTCGGACACAGGGGCGGCAGGTCCCGGGGGACAGGTGAGCAGAGACAGAGAGGGATGCAGGGATTTGCCTTGGCAGAGATTCCCTGGGAGCCCCTCTGGGGCTGCAGGAGAAGCAGGACACCAGAGAAGGCCTTGATGAACAGAGCAGTGTGACTGTAAGGAGCTGAAATGCTGACAGATCATTATTTAACAGTCTTGAAATATTTATAAGTGACACTTACGTGTATGGTTTTGGGGGAAAGAATCCTGTGGTTAGGAACACATATGTGGACTTCCAAAACATTAGTGTCTCTGTCACTTGAGCAGGCAGAAGTTTGGTAATAAGGAAAACCATGGAAATGGATAATTGTATAGGTTTGGAAAAGCTTCCCATAGTCCTTTCTGCTTTCCTATATTGTGCTAATTAGTAATTAACTTCAAAATGAAAAGTAGGTTGCACTTAGGGAAAAACAAGATGTGCAGCAAAAAGAAAAAAAGACTAATAATTAAAGTGAGCATATGTGAGCAAAGCAAACTATCCAACAGTGTTGCCACTGGCAAAACTCATTCTTGGCTCATCAGGAATGCTTTTTTAACTCCCTGAAGTGTCAGGTATTTTCAGTTGCCTGTCATTGGCTTCTGATGGTTGTGCCTCAGATGTGCCTCAAACAGCTGGAACCTGGTGACATTCCACAGCTGAAGAGATGCATTTAATCAGTTCAAAACCATGCCAGCTGTGCACTGTGGACACAGGATGGGAAAAGTCTAAAGTCTAGCTCCTGGAATGGGCACCAAGCCCTGGCATTGCTGGCAGATATGTGGAACAGTGACTCACAGACACCACCAAGGATGCTGGGGGTGCACAGCATGGGCAGCTCATCCATCTGTTTGAAATGAGGGCTGCAAGGTGGGCTTCCTGCCTAGGAATTGCCTGAGTGGTTTTGGGACTCAGCTGTACAAACCAGACAGGACCAACTCCTCTGCCTGCCCATTGGGGCTGAGCCTCTGAGGCAGCCCCTCTGTGCTGTGCCAGCGATGCTGTCCTGGCTGTGCTGTCCTGGCTGTCCTGTGCTGTCCTGGCTGTCCTGTGCTGTCCTGTGCTATCCTGGCTGTCCTGTGCTGTCCTGTGCTGTCCTGTGCTATCCTGTGCTGTCCTGGCTGTCCTGTGCTATCCTGGCTGTCCTGTGCTGTCCTTGCTGTCCTGGCTGTCCTGTGCTATCCTGGCTGTCCTGGCTGTGCTGTCCTGGCTGTCCTGTGCTGTCCTGTGCTGTCCTGTGCTATCCTGGCTGTCCTGTGCTATCCTGGCTGTCCTGTGCTGTCCTGTGCTGTCCTGTGCTATCCTGTGCTGTCCTGGCTGTCCTGTGCTATCCTGGCTGTCCTGTGCTGTCCTGTGCTGTCCTGTGCTATCCTGTGCTGTCCTGTGCTATCCTGTGCTGTCCTGGCTGTCCTGTGCTATCCTGGCTGTCCTGTGCTGTCCTGGCTGTCCTGTGCTATCCTGGCTGTCCTGTGCTGTCCTGTGCTATCCTGGCTGTTCTGTGCTATCCTGGCTGTCCTGTGCTATCCTGTGCTGTCCTGGCTGTCCTGTGCTATCCTGGCTGTCCTGTGCTATCCTGGCTGTGCTGTCCTGGCTGTGCTGTCCTGGCTGTCCTGTTCTGTCCTGTGCCATCCTGGCTGTCCTGGCTATCCTGGCTGTCCTGTTCTGTCCTGTGCTATCCTGGCTGTCCTGTGCTGTCCTGGCTGTCCTGTGCTATCCTGGCTGTCCTGGCTGTGCTGTCCTGGCTCTGCTGTCCTGTGCTGTCCTGGCTGTTCTGTGCTGTCCTGGCTGTTCTGTGCTGTGCTGTGCCATGCTGGGGAATGTGGGGACCTGCTGCAGGAGTGCTGGGCTCACTTCTGGCTGCTGTCCAAACCCTTGTCTGATTGGACGCCAGATTGTTTTAATCCAGATCACCTATTGCTGATATGTTAAACAATTTAAAATATCACTACAGCTGCCAGGCACTGGCAGGTCTCCAAAACAGGGTAAGAATCCTCTTAGCATCTCATTCTTGGTAAATATTTTGGTGTGCTGGGACTTCTCTGGGAACAGCACAGGCTACTTGCACTCTCACAGACTGCTTTGGAACATGTTCTACTCATTTACATATTTCAGAGTTTTTGTTTGTTTCACTAAGTGATCACTCCTATGAAACACATTTTCCCCTTGAGCCTGATTTTCTCCTATAGAGAGCAATTAACTAAGACATTGTATCCTTCAAGGAACCAGTAATTTTAATTAGTGATAAAATTAGTTGCAAGCACTTGTCTTTTAAAAGAGCTTTTAAACTAAAAAAGTTTTGCATTCTGATTTTTGTTGTTGTTGTTTCCATGTGTTCCCCTCTGACATGTTCTGAGAAGGTGTTCAGGGATGACACCAGCAGCTCAGGTATCAGTGAGTACACAGAGGTATTAATGCACATGAGTCTGCTTCCTTGCTCCACTTTTGTTTTCCTAATCCAGTTTAGTTTCTGGTTTTCAGGCCCAGTCACTGAATGCAGAGTCACTGCCTGGTTACTTTAAGCAAGGGGAAAAGAATGCAGAGATATTTGTAAGATACCGGCTGAAAAACAATCTGTGCTGGAACTGATGTTTCAGATATGACAATGGATCCTTTCTGCACCAATGGTGTTTCTGGCCAATGCAAAGATCAAGGAATGAGACCTTATCTCTATCCACCCTCTTTCATCAGCCTCTTCCCTGCCTGTGCTTCTGCAGCTCGGCCATGTGGAGCAGATCATCATCTGGCCAATTAGAGTCAGGTAGGCAATTTTCATCAGCATCCCAGATGCAGCTTCTCCCTTCTGCTCTGCCCCTCTTCCCTCACAGCATGCAAACTGCCAACCTTGCTTGCACTCCTAGAAAAAATACAACAGATTTCCTCCAGTTGTAGACAAATCTGGATGTTGTGTTGTTGTGGTTTGCTGGAGCTTTATAGTTCCTCTTGTTCAGCCCCTTCCATGGAAATCTCGTGACTTCCTGGAGGTTGCAGACAGGGTCCAGCAGGGCCCTGGTGAGCCCCATCCCAGGCTTTCCTGTCTATTTATTCTGACATTTCTACTGTCCCAGCAGCTGCTGGTGTAAATGGAACAGCACCTGAGACATGAGTGCAGTGGAACAGTGGTAACCACTGACTGGTACCAGGGGCAGTGCTGGGAGAGCTGTGACAGAGCTGTAACAGCGCCCTCCCATTCAACTTTTCAGCAAGTGAAACAGAACAAATGGAAAACGACCTCTAAGCTTCACTTACTGAAATCTTCCCCATTTTTATTGCTTCAGCACTACTGAAATAATGGCAGGTGTGCCATTGTCAGAGCCCACCATGCAGTCATAGCTCATGTCTGTCACACTGCTTGAGGCCTCTTTGCAGACCTGCTTCAGGGATCATGGCTGTAGAGAAACAACATCCTCAATAACATCACAGAACCCTGCCATCAATGGGAAATACTGATTCCTGCTCAGCCAGGAAGGCAGCTCTGCCTTGGCCACACAGACAGTATTACAGGTAACTTTTGTTAATTTGAAAAAAGACCCCAGAAAATATCAGCGTGATTAACTCTGTAATTGCTTCTAGAGGAAGAGTTCAACTTCTGCTGCCCTGCCTCTCTTCTCTTTTTCAATGCCCCGTGGTCGGAGTTGCTGCTGCAGGGCATGGGGTGGTCAGCTGAGGGAGATGCAAAAGCAGAATGCAGGACAGGGACATTTGTCATCAACACTAAAGCTGTTCAGTCCAGGGATGTCAGTGTGACACTCAGGGCTCCGTGGTGGTGCCAGGCTGGGGCAGGTGGGCGCTCCATCCCTCAGCTGCTGTCCTCCAAGCTGCTGCTGCAGGAGTGGAACCTCATGGTGCTCAAGGGGTCCGACACGTATCCTGCAGGAGCAGAGAGGGTCCCTGCAGCTGGCACAGAGTGCTCCCCAGCCCTGCCCCACCGTGCCAGCACTCTGCAGCACTCTGCAGCAGCTCACCGTTTTTGTCCACGGGTGGGTACTGGAAGGTCCTTCTCATGTCATCCAGAGACAGGCCCTGAGAAGGGGGCTGCCCAGTGCTGCAATTTAAACGGGAGCTGTCAGTTTGTAAGACTGATGATGGCACATCTCCAGGCCATGAGAACTTTTTTCCCAGAGTGGAAGGAAAGACCAGTACCATGAGACATCAGCCTGGGGCCTGGCCACAGCAGTGCAGTAAACAAAAAGCAGGAATAAGGCATGAAGTGAGACCATGACCCCCAGGGCTTACTGGCACTCAGTTACCCTTCGCAGAGTAACTGCCCTCAAATACCCCATTTGGGGCTTCACAACTGTCTCTGGATTGCCATCTTGGAAAAAATTCCTGGCATCAATCCAGGGTCATTGACATGTATTTTATGTGTCACTGCTATAAGGTTCTTGCAAATACATTTCTCAGGCGAAGAAGATGGTGGAATTATCTTCCAGTCATGGACAAAACCCACTATCCTGCTAACATGTGGTTCATCCCTGATCCTAGAGATGGGAGTTGCTATGTTTGCCCTTGAAACCAGTTCTCCAAGTGGTAGGGTAAAATACCTCAAGTATTTACTTAATGGTACAATAATGTAGATCCCATGCGTGTCCCTACCTTAAAAAATATCAGGAGTTCTTACTGTTCTGTAGTCATGAAATGAGTGATACTCAGCTTTTAGGATGTACCTTGGTAGAACCAGTCCCAGCAATGCTGACTGCCACAAACCTCTGTCAGGCTCTTCCTTACACAGTTGTCTCTTGCCTTTGTACCTGCTGGAAGGCTCTGGATTCTGTCTT